CTGTTTCTGATCTTTCTGATAAGAAAAGAACTCCTGAATTTGTTGGTGAGGGCCTCAGAGAGTGGCTGTTGGAAGACCCTATATGTGGGCAACGGGATTCTGAGCCATGCCACACAAGGAGAAGCCAGTCATGGCTGTCAGACAATTTCTGCGACCACATCGCCAATTACATCTGGTCACCTAACTCCCCAGAATGCAACCCTCTTGATTATTATGTGTGGGGCGCTGTTAAGCGAGAGACCAGTAAAATTCCTTGTAACACCAAAGATGAACGGAAGGCAAGGACTATAGTATAATTCACCAACTTAAACTTGGAGACCGTCTTAATGAGATGAAGAAGATTCCGAAGTTGTTTGGAGGCCGTGGTTGAAGCCAATGGCGATTTTATTGAATGGATTTACTATTTAGTATTTTTTGTGTAATGTTGGTAAATATATCCTTTAAAATGAGATGACAGCATTATTTTCATTTTTGAGAAATTAAGACGACAATTTATCCATCGCACCCTGTATATGTAAATGGACACTGAGATCAACATCAAGCGGCGACAGTCTGTTTCATGTTTCACTGCAATCCTCAGGCCATGTGTTTTGGCTCGACTATTTATGTATGCTGGTCAGTGGTGCATTCTGCGTAGGTCTAATGTTATTGGATAGTCGATAACAGTTATGTTTGTAATTAATCTAGAGATTCATTGGTCGAAATAGCTGTAGATCAGAATGTGGTTATGTATAGTTACTTTATAGTGTTGTATATTTTATACATTATTCATTATTGATTGCTTTATTATTTTTTGTTGATTGTCATTATTATTATATTTAATTCGGTTTATGTGGGCATCCGTAGGTTGTTTATTTTATTTATTTATTTATTTTTCGGGGTTTGGTTATACACTGCGTGCCAAATTATTATCGAGATAACTTTTTTCTAATATTTCAAAAACCGTCCAATCAATTCACAAAAACTTTTCACACAATATTGGCAACACTGACCTGCGCAATCACTGAAATTTTTGTACTGATCTGCGCAATGTAAACAAACCGGCGCCATATTTGTTATCAGCACGGTGATTTGAGCGTGCCAAATTATTAGAAAAGTGTAAGAATTTAGTGAAAAGATGGACCGTAAAAGCAGTTTAATTAATGCTGAAAAGAAAACTATCACCTCAGAACTCTCAAAAGGTAAATCTACCCTAGAAATTTCTAAAATAATAGGGAGGTTTCATCAAACAGTGAAAAAGTTCACCGCCGACCCTACACAAGTACGCAAATGGGCAGATAAAGGCAAGCCGAAGGCTATTTCACGTCGTCTCATGTCATGACTTAAACGAGACGCCACGAAGAACCCTGGACTCACCAGTCAAGAGCTTTTCAGTCGCATGGGGATCCTACTGTGTCTAAAAGTACTCGGTGTCGGTATCTGAGGGAAATAGCAACAACAGTTAAACCTGTATCGAAGCCTCTGTTGACGAGAAATCCCATTCAAAATCGATTGAAATGGGCCGAGGATAATATGAACATTGACTTCTCTAAAGTTTTGTTCGCAGACGAAACTCGGGCAACACTTGATGGGCCAGATAGATGGTGCAAATGCTGGGTAAGGAGCTGACAGAGACGCCAACAAGGCGGTGGAGGCATAATGATCTGGGGTGGTATTATTGGAAAAACATTAGTGGGCCCATGGAGAGTACCAGATGGCGTCAAAATGACTGCTGGTGCATACATAGCATTTATGAAGGAGCATCTTGAACCGTGGATGAAAAGGCAAAGAGTTGCCTTCAGAAGAGCCATTGTTTTTATGCAAAATAATGCTCCATCACATGCTGCTCACAAGACTACTGAATATTTGAAACAGTTAGACTTCGATGGACCTCGACAAATGAAGTGGCCAGCAAATTCTCCGGATTTGAACCCAATCGAAAACCTTTGGAGCATCATGAAGCGAAGACTGTACGCCAACGGACGACAATTCAGGAGCAACGCTGAGTTGTGGGAAGCAATTCTTGACATATCTCGCGGCATTACAGCAGATGACATCCTACAATTAACAAATTCTATGGATCGACTTCTTCAAGTAATTTCAAAACATGGAAAGCACATTCCATATTAATTTGTTTAAAACTGTGCCTTTGTTTGTATCTGTTATTATTTGTTGATTATCTTATTTATTAGCTTCTTTTGATCATAAACGTTCAAGTGCAACATTAATAAACGTTTTGATTGCTCAATTCTTGGAATATTACTAAACGTTTCTAATAATTTGGCACGGTCAAATCACCGTGCTGACAACAAATATGGCGCCAGTTTGTTTACATTGCGCAGATCAGTACGAAAATTTCAGTGATTGCGCAGGTCTGTGTTGCCAACATTGTGTGAAAATTTTGTGTGAATTGATTGGACTTATTCTTTAGAGGAAATCAAAAAATTTGAATATAGCATACTGTTTACATTGTTTTTCTCAAATTTGTCCCTTACTTTTGGACGTTCCAAATTTGAAAATAAATAAATAATTGTTATAATTCTTTTTCTATCCTTTGCAAATGATTCAAATTTTAGTATGTTATTATGGATGATAACGACTACCAGTTGTCAAAATTTCAGCTTTTCACAGTTGTTATTTCTAACAAATATTAGGTTTTAAAATTTTGTCCCTTAGTTTTGGACGCTACTGTATATAGCATAGATTTGGATAAATCAAACGGCCAGATATAAGCAACCGTATACGCGCGTGTTGGCGTGCATAGACACACACACACACACACACACACACACACACACACACACACACATATATATATATATATAAATACAGGGTGTTTCAAAAAATTTGATATCATTTCGCAATCTAATAACTTTGTTAGATCTCCTTCAAATGACTTCAAATTTTAATAGCATCTTTATGTTTAATGTTTGTTTTATGTTTTTATGTCTTCCTGTTTTTGTGTTTTTCTTATTTGTATTTTTATGTTCTTTAATTTTTAATCTTTTTCTTTACAGGTATAAAAATGCCATGTCTCAGGCGGTGCGCATATTGAACATTTGTGAAATCGTTCACATAATCCACATGCTTTTGAATTTCTCATTCAGATTTGGAAGAATAAATCTTATGATCTTCAACATTAATACTTTTTAATTTCATTTGCCTTAATCATGTACTTTCTGTGATATTTACATCTCAAAGGATATCAAATATTTTGAAACACCCTGTATATATACAGGTAAAATCAGAATAAAGTGAATATAATTCCACTGTACGTAATATTTAAGAGTAGCTGTATGATTTTAACGTTTTAATATCCTAAAATAAATTTATATATATATATATATATATATATATATATATATATATATATATATATATATATATATATATACGTAACACATTAATAAATGGATAAAGTCAGACTATTATTTTATGTATACATATAAAGAATATATAAAATGTCTTAATATATATATATATATATATATATATATATATATATAATGAGAGATACAGACAGGCACAGACAGAGAGAGCGAACGAGAAAGAGACAGACAGAAACTGTAAACGGGAAATTTTTATATGAATTTATTTATCTTTTTTGTCGGTATACAAGAAAACATGTGCATGTTATCAATGAGGATAAATATCACACAGACTTTTGAGTTCTCGCGCTTTTGACCATCCATTCCCCCGAGGCCTAAGCGATCAACGGCGTCTCCAAGGTTCACTTCTTGGTCTAACCCTGTTTTCTACTTAGCATAAATTATCTACCTTAGAATATACTCCAATCATTTGTAAATATCTATGTTGATAATACAAAGGTATATGGGTGCGCCTCCAAAGCTGAAGACAAGAGTCTGGCATCTGGCCTCTCGTCTGACCGAGCCATAGCTTCTCAGTGTGTGTATGTGCGTGTGGAGTGCGGGTGGTTACATTCAATGCTTCGAAAACCAAACAGTAGTCTTCAGGCATCACCAAACGGACCCGGAATTTTATCGCGCTGAAAGATTGTTCTCTCAGGGAGAGTTCGTGTCTCTAGAGTCTCTTGGGACTTAAGCGCAACCCAGGCCTCAAGTGGAACTCGTATTACAATCCATCGCTAAAGATACTGGACAATGATCGGTCCCCTTTACCGCACCAGTAAATACCTAATCCACTATCTTTAGAAGATGCAGAAAAGTTGATTACTACTTCCATATATGGACAGGCGGTGCACCAGTATTAAGTTTTCCGTCTCAGAGTTCCAAAAGTGTCTCGGTGTCCTTGCAGTTTATTTTCTACCAGGTAACCCCTTCCCCACAGAAAGAAACGTCGCAGTACCCTATTGCTATTTCCAGGGAAAGTCTTCCGACGTGACGAACTATATTCCTTATTTCACGTCTAAGACCCGACATTATAGCGAACTACGAGCATTCTCTTCGTATTCCATCGGCGAGATGTAAGTTCCACTCAAACAGCTTCTTAACACTAACAGTTGCTTTGCGCCAACGAATCACAAGAGGTTACTTCTCCTAGCACTACAATCTTAACCTGTTCCAGTTTAGAGTTAATCGTTATCATCCCAATATATTACCATAAACTGTGCCTCTTACTCTGTAACACTCATCTTTGTGCAGCTTGGGGACCTTATCCACGGTGAATGTCTTTTTAATTCTATTAAAAAAATAGTTTATTTAAAAAAAAAAAAAAAGGTTTTCTTCGGCAGCATAACATTTGAAATTTATATATAAAAATGAAAAAATCAAAATATTTCTCTTTACTCGCGGGTGTGTGAGTGTATGCAAAACCTAGGCTTAGAGTTAAGGTTTAGATATGCATCCTGTAATCGAAACTTTGCTCAACGTTCCGCCATGAACCTTGAACTGGAAATGACACTTTTCTCGTTAACGTGATTGATATTCTAAAGTCTTTTTATCTTTTAAACTTGTCCAAATAGATATGGATGTATGAACAAGCTATTAATGTAGTTATAATTACACGTACCTTTTTATCTCGACTTTGTTCTCTACGACTGTTTGCCTGTAACTCTCTCTTTCTCTCTCTTCCCTATCTTCTTCGCTATCTATCTATCTATCTATCTATCTATCTATCTATCTATCTATCTCAATGATTCCCAACAGTGGGGCATGGTAATATTTTGGTGAGGTGTGCGTAGGATGTGCACCCTTTGCCTTACTATGTCAACGTGAGCTCAAATTTCATTTTTCATTATTATTTCATGATTAAAATGATCAAAGCATGTTACGGGATGAGCTTTCATCAAATATTTTATATTTCTGTCTTTCAGTTCTCTATTATATGTTTTGAAACTATATATATTTAACTGTCTTTTTGTTTGTTTTAATTTTTCTCTTTCATGGGCGCCATGGTATTTGAAAGCTTGTTTAGAAGCCAAGTTAATGGCCTTTTAAGATTCCTTCACTGCAGTAAAATTTTGAATATATAAGAATTAAATAATACGGGGCTGGTGGACACGAGAATTTCAGAAATACCAAAGTGGAGAATGGTCCAAAATCGGTTGGGGAACACTGATCTATAGATAGATAATCTATCTATCTATCTATCTATCTATCTATCTATCTATCTATCTATCTATCTATCTATCTATCTCATTCTGTACATTATCTATCTATCTATCTATCTATCTATCTATCTATCTATCTATCTATCTATCTATCTATCTCATTCTGTTCATTATCTATCTATCTATCTATCTATCTATCTATCTATCTATCTATCTATCTATCTATCTCAGTCTGTTATCTATCTATCTATCTATCTATCTATCTATCTATCTATCTGTCTGTCAGTCAGATTTTTCTAGAACGCTGAACCTCCAAAATTACCTCTTACATAGAATGACACCCCATTCGTATATAATGGCGCCATTTTCAACAAGCTACGTTTTCTATGGCAGCAACCATTCCGGATAGTTCTGCTACTATTCTGCGACTACTACAACTGTTGACGTTAGCCTTTTACAACCCATTCCTGGGTATGACGATAAACTACACCCGACAGCAAAGCCTCTGATCGAGAGATAGGAGGTTTTGAGGAGCGTGGAACCGCCTCTTAATTTCTGTTTTCAGCTCCACCTTGACCCAGTGTGGTACCATAGCCCTTGCGTTTGGGAAGAAGACCAGCGTGCCACACCCGGTCAGGCGCCTTCAAAATATCTAAAGCCACAGCCCAAGCCTCGTATTTCATATTTATGATTGTATTACGCCAGTCTATGATGTTCGAAGAAGGATAGTCCGCGATAAGGGTTTATTCGTTTGAAGTTATTTTTAACAATTCATTATGCAACTATTAAATTTTATTATCAAGCAAATATTTATTCTATGTGCCGTACCACTTCTGGAAGTGGCCGATTATATTTTTACTCTTTATATCTCTAAGGAAATCCCTGGCATCCATTTATCAGTCAGTCAGTTATGTACCATGCGGGATACACGCTTAGGTGGTCATATATCTTTAAATACATGACTGACAAGGCAGATTTTTTCCCGCAGTAGGTTGCCATTTCTTTCTGCGGTAGACCACTTGCCATTCTAGTCTAGATAACCCGGTCTGTCCTTACGTGCTAATACGCTCCTTCTCCGAGAAAGAGAAGGAGAGTATTAGCACGTAAGTGAATGTAATGGGTTTGACTTGAATTCGAACTCAGTACTCCAATTCTTCAGTCCGAGCCGCTATCCATTACCCCACCGTGCATCCATTTATACAAGTTCAGAAGATAGGTTACTCGCTGTTTCCCTTTGCCTCTTTTGTTTTCTCGGCGCCCTGTGTGTGTAAATTCTACAAGCCCTCTTTCCTCATTAATTGTCGCAGAAATGTCAACTGTCTCCTTTTGATTCTAAGTGTCGTTTTTGATTCCACTTTCCTAAAACGTACTCATTGCTCACATGCCCCGTCCATGGCATTCTCAGCATCCTTTTGGAGAACCACATCTCTGTTGCCTCGTGTCTCCACTTCATCTGTGAAGAAAATCTCTTGCATTCACTGTCATTAAATGAACCAACTTAACGAGTTTTGTAACATACGGTGACATTTAACAATTAAGTATAACCCAAGACTTCAATGTTAAACAAAAAAAACATGATTTAATTACAACCACAAATAAATACTTAACAAGAACAAATAAGTAATGATCAAACAAAGATAATTAATCATTTCAGAGAATACATTATTAATAGCGCGGTTCGGCTTAACATCCGGTAAATCCTAAATCAAAATCAAAATCATCGACGCACAGTAAGTCACATAATTTCGGCTGGATAGTTTATATTTACCCCCCTCCCCACGAGGTCACGTTGTAACACAAGCTTGGTTTAATGTAGGAAGCCCGAGCGCGTACACCCGGGCAAGGAACAAAAATTCTCCGAGCCGCCGCAACCGTCGTTTGCGCTGGCCTCGTTGCATGCATCGATCCTTCTCTGTAGTGCAATGAGAAGGCGCGGCCTCGGGCAGCTGTTCCCCAGGGCTTGGTACCTCTCAGTATAATTTTCCTCAGTTGCGACTCTGTCCTTTGACAGAGTAACTCCTGAGCGCACTCTGCCCAAAGACAGAGACGCAACTGAGGGATGATAAATAAATGTGTTACAAATCGCTCCAAGGAGGAATTTACGCACTCGGCTGGATAGTTCCACTCAATAATCACTCCACACCGCTATTTATACACCTGGCATAAAAATATTTATAAGTCCAGCTCGATACTCGGTGCCGGTACTTAATAATTTTTTTCTATATGACAACGAGCCATTTAAATCGTTTTAATTGGAAGGTTTATTATTTACAAGTGTGTCGAAAACTAACCGTAGACATAAGAATGGCTTCTTCAGTATATGTCTATATTTCTGAGATGAGGTATTATGTACACTATTTACATTATTAGGACTATTGTCATCTATTGTCCTCATCTTTGTCGCCATATTTATTACAATGTTTCGGCCTTTGTACGCTCCGGCCTTCTTCAGGTTGTTGGAATGTCGAACTGAAACCTTTATTTCGCTCACTGGGGTAGACTGTTCTAGTTCCACGTGCCATGTTTAATGGATGTCAGTTATCAGTCATCTCCTGTTAATTTCCCTCTCCAAGTTCCCCACTGCCTTAACCGGGTATTGAACTCACACTCTTTGGGTCCTTTCACTGGATCTAACTAACGCCTTTATCCACTGTGCCATGTATCCTTGAGGTTTCTTTTGCGTGTTGTGTCACTTCAGGGCATGGGTGATTATGGATCTCCACATGTTCCTGCGTTTTGTAGTTGTAAACAATGATTGGCTCCTTACTACTCTACAACAAGTAACAACGAGTAATCTACTTTACTCGTTGTTTCTCCCTGTCTCTCTTGCCTCAGTGCCTTGTTAGTGTCAAATTCTCCAAGCCCTCTTTTCCTCCTTATGTGTCCTTTTGAATTCCATTCCTTAAAACTTCCGCCTGATCCACATACTCCGTCCGTGGTATTCTTAGCAATTACTGAAAATATGATTTCAAGAATAAGGAAACAAAACAAAGAAAAATGAATGTTATAACTAAATTATGTAAATAAATCATTATTTACGCTATTGAGATTGTTCGAACTGATGTCCTCATCTTCGTTGCCATATTCACGACGTTTCGGCCGTTGTACGCCCCAGTCTTCTTCAGGTGATTGGAATTTCGTACTGAACCCTTTATTTCCTCCAACGGGGAAGATTGTTTCACGTGCCACGCCTCTTCCCGATGTCTCAGTATCAGTTACCTCCCTTTAATTTAGCACTACAAGTTTTTGTTCAACTCTGCTGTAGTCAGATATTGAACTCGCAACATTTTGGGTCAAGTCATTGAATACAATCAACGCTTTTAGCCACTGAGCCACGTGTCCTTTTTAAAGCCATTTCTTTCACTATCACCTCTTTCTTTCTTTCTTTCTTTCTTTCTTTCTTTCTTTCTTTCTTTCTTTCTTTCTCAAATATTTTCATTTACTCTTTCAGTCATTCTATTTCTTCTGTTTTCCCTTCATATGTTTTTCTTTCTTTTTCTTTCTTTCTTTTTTCAAATGATTCGTTCACTTTTTCATTCGCGCTATTTCTTCATTCTTTTTCTTTTCACTCTATTAATTCTTTTATTTCTTGCCTTCCTTCTTTATTTTCATTCATTTCTTTATTCTTTCTTAATTTCTATATTTGGTTTTAGATTTTTGTAACATTCTTTCAATTATTTGAAATTATTTCTGCTTTTATTTCTTCATCTGAAGTTTTCTTTCTTTCTTTCTTTCTTTCTTATTTATTTTCTTTCTTTTCTTTTTCTTTTAACCCATTTTTTTTACTCAGTTTCCTTCTGTTATCGTTTCTTTCTTTATTAGAGCTTTCTATTTTGTTAGCCTTTTTTACTCCTTTTCTTCTTCGTCTTCATTTCTTTCTTTCTTTCTTTCTTTCTTTCTTTCTTTCTTTCTTTATTTCTTTCTTTCTTTCTTTCTTTCTTAACCCATTTTTTTACTCAGTTTCCTTCTGTTATCGTTTCTTTCTTTATTAGAGCTTTCTATTTTGTTAGCCCTTTTTTACTCCTTTTTCTTCCTCGTCTTCATTTCTTTCTTTCTTTCTTTCTTTCTTTCTTTCTTTCTTTCTTTCTTTCTTTCTTTCTTTCTTAACCCATTTTTACTCAGTTTCCTTCTGTTATCGTTTCTTTCTTTTATTAGAGCTTTCTATTTTGTTAGCCTTTTTTTACTCCTTTTTCTTCCTCGTCTTCATTTCTTTCTTTCTTTTTCTTTCTTTCTTTCTTTCTTTCTTTTCTTTCTTAACCCATTTTTACTCAGTTTCCTTCTGTTATCGTTTCTTTCTTTATTAGAGCTTTCTATTTTGTTAGCCTTTTTACTCTTTTCTTCCTCGTCTTCATTTCTTTCTTTCTTTCTTTCTTTCTTTCTTTCTTTCTTTCTTAACCCATTTTTTACTCAGTTTCCTTCTGTTATCGTTTCTTTCTTTATTAGAGCTTTCTATTTTGTTAGCCTTTTTTACTCCTTTTCTTCCTCGTCTTCATTTCTTTCTTTCTTTCTTTCTTTCTTTCTTTCTTTCTTTCTTAACCCATTTTTTACTCAGTTTCCTTCTGTTATCGTTTCTTTCTTTATTAGAGCTTTTTCTATTTTGTTAGCCTTTTTTACTCCTTTTCTTCCTCGTCTTCATTTCTTTCTTTTCTTTCTTTCTTTCTTTCTTTCTTTCTTAACCCATTTTTTACTCAGTTTCCTTCTGTTATCGTTTCTTTCTTTATTAGAGCTTTCTATTTTGTTAGCCTTTTTTACTCCTTTTCTTCCTCGTCTTCATTTCTTTCTTTCTTTCTTTCTTAACCCATTTTTTACTCAGTTTCCTTCTGTTATCGTTTCTTTTCTTTATTAGAGCTTTCTATTTTGTTAGCCTTTTTACTCCTTTTCTTCCTTGTCTTCATTTTTTCTTTCTTTTTTCTTAACCCATTTTTTTACTCAGTTTCCTTCTGTTATCGTTTCTTTCTTTATTAGAGCTTTCTATTTTTTAGCCTTTTTACTCTTTTCTTCCTCGTCTTCATTTCTTTCTTTCTTTCTTTCTTTCTTAACCCATTTTTTACTCAGTTTCCTTCTGTTATCGTTTCTTTCTTTATTAGAGCTTTCTATTTTGTTAGCCTTTTTTACTCCTTTTCTTCCTCGTCTTCATTTCTTTCTTTCTTTCTTTCTTAACCCATTTTTTACTCAGTTTCCTTCTGTTATCGTTTCTTTCTTTATTAGAGCTTTCTATTTTGTTAGCCTTTTTTACTACGTTCCTTCATCGTTCTTTCTTTCATTCTTTCTTTCTTTTTTTTCTTTCCTTTTATTTTTACTTTCCTAACATTCTTTTTTTCCTTCTTTCTTTTCTATTTTATTAGCCTTCTTTCTTTCTTTCATTATTTCTTTCTGTCTTAACCTTCTATTCTTTCTTTCTTTGTTTCTTTCTTTCTTTACTCATCCATTATTTGCTCACCTTCATTCTGTCTTTTTATAACTGTTTTCTATTTTGTTAGCCTTCCTTACTCCTTTTCTTTCTCGTCTTCATTTCTTTCTTTCTTTCTTTCTTTCTTTCTTTCTTTCTTTCTTTCTTTCTTATCCATGTTCTTATTTCCATGCTCATATTCTCTTTTTTTTTTTAAATCATTGTTCTCATTTTTTGTTTCTTTGTTACTTTCATTCATTCCTTTTTCTTTCTTTCTTTCTTTCTTTCTTCAATTCATTTATTCAACTATTTATACTTTTGTGCTTTATTTCTCCCTATTATTAGTTAAAAGATTTCTTTCTGTATTTCTTCATATTTTATTTTTCTGTCACTTGTTTTAAAACCGATTCTTTCATATTTTTATTTCTTTCTTTCTATTTTTCTTCCTTTTAACAATTTCTTTTCTTCTTTATTTCATCATATTTTAGTACTTCTTTCTTCCTTCCTTCCTTCCTTCCTTCCTTCCTTCCTTCCTTCCTTCCTTCCTTCCTCTAAACTATATCTTTCAATATCTCATCCTGTTTTCCTCTATCTTTCATTTATTGTTGAAATCCTTTCTTTGTCCATTTTTTTCTTTCTTTCTTTTTTTAACCATTTCTCCTTCTATTTTTCTGCTGTCTTTCATTTATTTTTATTTTTTCTTTCATTATTTCTTTCTCCAACTTTTCTTTTTTTCTTTCTTTCAACCATTTCCTTAATATTTTTTCATTTATTTTCTTAAATATTTTCTTTCGATCTTTCTTTATTTCATCATATTTTAGTTATTCTTTCTTTCTTTCTTTCTTTCTTTCTTTCTTTCTTTCTTTCTTTCTTTAAACTATATCCTTCAATATCTCATCCTATTTTCCTGTATCTTCCATTTATTGTTGACAGCATTTCTTTGTCCATTTCTTTTTTGTTTTTTGTTTTTATAAAACCATTTCTCCTTATATTTTTCTGCTGTCTTTCAATTCTTTCTCCATTTCTTTTTTCATTCTTTCTTTCTCCAATTCTTCTTTTTTCTTTCAACCATTTTTTTCTGCTTTTCATTTTCGTTTCAAACATTTCTTTCTTTGTTGTTTTCTTTCGTCCTTTCTTTGACCGATTTCTTTCACCATCTCCTCATATTTCCACACTGTTTTTCATCCATGTTTTTAAAATCATTCCTATTTCTTTCTTTCTTTCTTTCTTTCTTTCTTTCTTTCTTTCTTTCTTTCTTTCTTTCTTTCTTTGCTTTGTCGTATTTTAGTTTTTGCTTTCTTAAAACCATTATTTTCTCTATTTCCTCTTATTTTTTTTACAGTTTTTCATTTATTCTTTAAGTCATTTCTTTCTCCATTTTTTCTTCCTTGCTCCCTTCCATCGTTTTTCTTTCTTTTATTTGTTTAAATCATTTTTTTCTTTCTTTTTTTATTTATTGTTCAACCATTACAATTCATATTTTCCTCCTTCTTTTCTCATATTTCTCATCTTTATTTCAGTTCTTTCTTTCTTTCTTTCTTTCTTTTTTATTCCATTATATTTTAGTTCATTTTTACTTTCTTTATTTAAACTATTTCTTTTCACAAATATTTTTCTTCAGTTTTTCATTTATTGTTAAATCATTTTTTCTTTAATTTTTTCTTAGTTTTTCTTTCTTTCTTTCCTTCATTCTTTCTTTCTTAGTTTTTTCTTTCTTTCTTTAAACCATTTCTTTCACTATCTCATATTGTTCTTGTCTTGCATTTTGTGTTTAAATCATTTCTTTCTTTCTTTCTTTCTTTCTTTCTTTCTTTCTTTCTTTCCTTCATAATTTAGTGTCATTCTTTCTTTTAACTATTTCTTACACTGTCTTGCATTTATTGTTTAAATAATTTGTTTATTTGTTTGTTTGTCTCTTTCTTTCTTTCTTATTTTTAAACAATTTCTTTCACTATCTCCTCAGGCTTTTCGTCTGTACATTGTTTGAATTTATTTTTAAAATAATTTCTTTCCCCAGTTTTTTTTATTTCCTTCTTTCTTTCTTCATATTTTAGTTCTTTTGTTCTTTCTTTTAGTTTTTTTTTCTTTAAATGATTTCTGTCACTTTCTCAATTTTTTTCTTCTGTCTTTCATTTATTGTTTAAAACATTTTTCTCTATTTGCTTGCATGTCGCGTTGTTTCTTTATTCATAATAATTCATTAAACAGGATGCCATGCTATTTAACACACGCACACACCCTCATAAATATACATACATCAGATGCTGACATACATTCATATTTAATGAAGCTATTAACAATTGTTTAATTCTCAATGAGCGCTCCACAACTTTGGCATTGTGCCTGTCTAATATTTAGTTAGTATCTTGCTCGATTCTGCAATGCGTTCATTCCTTCAAACATGACATTCATCTTTCCCTGTCGCTTACCAGATTGTCAGGTGGCTATGTTCATCCCTTCACCATAACCCGAAGGCAAAAGGAAGTTATATAACGAAGTCCATCTCCTCTACGAGTAACATGAGACAAGATTGCCGGAAAGAATCTATGCCCTGACTCTATCTACCGAACAGAAATCGATATGAGTCCCTTTAACAATGGAACATAGGGCCCATTTTAATACATCTCATTTACATACACACTGATTTGAACGTCTCAAGACACATACACAACGAACGTTTAAAGATATATATATATATATATATATATATATATATATATATATATATATATATATATATATATATATATATATACTCAAACATACATAATTCGTTTATTTTTCTTATGGCCTTAACAGATAATATAATAGCTGGCTAATCAGTTTAGTTAACACATCCCTGTTGTAGTCCACCTGTCGTTTATACTGCAACTATTTCGAATAGATCTTCTTTTTTTTATCACCCTCCACAGCAAGGCAATAAAGCCACTAAGACGCAATGGATTACTTAGTGTGAGAGAATATGGCAAAAATATACTTTTATAGGGAAAGGACAATAAAAGAATAGGAATTAGAAAAACAGAAGATAACGGTTGACATTGCATTTAAAATTTTGAAGATCAAAGTTAACTGGAAAACAAGAAGCTGGAAGAGAGTTCCACAAGCGAGAGGTGCTATAAAAGAAACTGCTAGCATAGAAATTACGGTTACATATAGCCATTTTAACTGTAAAAGTATGCGATCTTTCTGGCAATCTAGTACTACGCTTAAATTTATAAAGATTTTGTTCCCTAGTGGAAAGTTCATCAGAGCAATTACCATGAAAGTATTTATAGTAAATGAATACGGAATCTACGTTACGTCATTTATGAAAATTAAGAACAATGTAGGCCCAAGGATAGAGCCTTGGGGAACACCTATATTTATGCGAAAAGATCGAGAAGAGTGGCCATTCGAGACAACTTTCATTTCACGATTTGATAAGAAAGACTGAATTCGTCCATAAATACCATAACCTTTCAATTTGGGTAGAAGACAGACAACATGACAAATCCTGTCTTTGAGATATCTAAAGGAACAGCCAGATCTTCACCATACTTATCTAAAGATTGATAGACTCTTTCAGCAATAATAAGTACATTAACAGTTGATCTAGATAAGTGAAAGCTATATTGCTTATCTGAAAGAAGACGCTGCAAGGTGAAATGCTTAACAAATTCAGAGCTGATTAGAGTGTCTAGTACTTTGCCAAAAAGAGGTAGAAGGCTAATAGACCAATAGAAAGATAAAACTGTTCACTGAAGTTCTTAAAGGCTGGAACTACACAAGATTTCCAACAAGCAGCAATGCAAAAAATAGCAAGGCATTATTAGTAGAGTTTAGAGAGAACAACATTTGCAACAAGTGAATTATAATCTGTTAAAAAGTTTCGTGATCACTTGCCAATTTGACCCAATCGAACGGGTCAGACTTAAGACAGGAGTAAATACTTGTGTCTTCAGCATAGATACCGAACTGAGAACTGATGACATCAGAAAAAAACCCCAGGAATAACGTAAACCCAAGGATAGAGTCTTGGGAAACACCTACATTTATGCGAAAAGATCTAGAAGAGTGGCCATTCGAAACAACTTTTATTTCATGATTTGATAAGAAAGACGGAATTAGTTAAAAATAAAAATTCGTCCATAAATACCATAATATTTCAACTTGAGAAGAAGATCGGTATGTCAAACCCTGTCAAAAGCTTTCGAGATATCCAATGCTTCACCATTCTTATTTAAAGCTTCATAGACTCTTTCTGCCATAATCATTAACACGTCAAATTATCCTTTTGTCCTTATTCATACATGTATATGTATATATGTTGAATAACAAAATGGAATATATATATATATATATATATATATATATATATATATATATATATATATATATATATATATATATATATATATAATATTAGTGGAAAATATACATACATATGCAAAATATATAAAATACCCATACATGTATATTTTTGAATAAAAATTCCAAGAGGATAGAATCCAGGTAGAACTCAATGTCCAGGACAGAGTAAGGATATAATAAAATATTAGTGTTTAAGCCTTTTTTATATTATATATATATATATATATATATATATATATATATACGTGTGTCTGTGTTAAAAATAACAAAATGGAATTCACACAAACATATATTTACACACACACACAAACACAAACACACACACACACATATATATATACATATATATTGGATGATAAAATAACGCGTATCATCTTTCAGACCTAACCTTCATAATTTCGACTCAAACAATCAAGTTTTAATTTTTAAAAAAAGTGATTTATTACAAATATAAAGAAAAGCTGTAATCATAGTTACAGTTTCATGATGAAAAGCTTATAACTGGGCATGTCCGTCAGTTTGAACATCGGTCACGATGACTTGTGTCTCCGTGCTAGCAGAACCAATGACCGCTACCAAATTTCACTCACAAGTCTTGGGTTATCCTGTGGCATTTTATTTTCACTCACTTCCCCAGACACATAAAATCCACGAATCACTTTCCATTCAAATCGACCCAAGTGAGATTCGAACACAGGTCTAGTAGTAAGAAAGCTAGAATTTTTCAGCACTCGGTCACATATACTGATAATACCGCGCGTCACTAAAGTCTCACATATGGGAACTCCCATTAACTGTTTTTATCTACCTCCACAGATTAAATATGGTTTTGTCGAAAAAAGAGAGAATTGATTTTTTTTTCTGGGGTATGTTAAAGGAGATGGTGTACTCAGTGAAAATCACAGATACAACACACTTGATTGAATGTAAAAATAGCGATTGTGCTAAAATAGACAGCAGTGTGAATTTATTGCATCGAGTTCACCTTACTCTTGCAAAGCACATCAATCTTTGCATCATGATGGAAAATGATGAAAATCAGACTGAAAATGTCATTTGTTAATATTCCAATTCTATAGAATGTTGTTGAAAATTTAATTGCTTGAAAATATGCATTTTTGTTTAGGGTGTCCAGACTTTAGGACATTATCTATAATTATACAATGAATCTATGCATGTACAGGGTGTATCAAAATGCTTATACAAACTTTGGGAGCGGTTTACTTGCACTAAAACAAGGAGAAATGTTCATATATGACTGCAAATCCTTTGTTTTTGAGTTATTAAATTTAATGTCTACGGTAGACGCTGTTAAGTGTACAATCCAAGATACAATCCGACATATAATCCAAAATTATTAACTATTATTATATCAATAACACGCTACCGCCCCTGTCTAAATGATTGGATTTCTCTGGATCCTTGGAAACCCAAAAAAAAAAAAAAATGAATTTTATGTGCGTTTAAAACTCAGTAAATTTTAAAATAAGTTATTCCAAAATTCGCTTGATGATGAAACAGAACTAATGCGTTTAATTTAATTATATAATCAAATTTGAAGTTTTTAGCTTCGGTTTTTGAAACATGGTAATTCCTGTGTAGCGAAGAAACCATATTTTAAATCAGTTAATTTATAATATTTATGCTCTGTCAATTTACATTGAGCACTGTTTTGTAAAAATAAAAATATCAATAAGAACACCGGATTATGTATCTTACTGTTCTTTCTTTTTATTATAATATATAAAAGTCTTGCTAAAAACACATGCCAGTAGATGTTAATTATTTAGAGACGTCCACTCAAACAGGTGTATCCACTAAATACATCGATTATAGTGGTAAGAAATAATTACCGATGCTAAATCCATTAAGGTCTTTAAAAATCAATTTGTTTGCGCTTAAGGTACAAAGTTAGCAGATGAGTGCTTCGAAATATCTTTATGAGTGATGGGCTTTCCTTCATAAGAGTAAATCCATCGGGCCTGAGCGGTCTAAAAGACAGGCTTTATAAGACGGGCGCAGGTTCGAATCATGCTGAAGTGCACATTTTCTTTATTACGTGCTTGAAAATCCCAGGCCGATAGACATCACTTTAAAAAGAGAGATGTCTATTCAAACAAGTGTAACGAAACGTCACCGAATTTACCAAATTCTTCATTCAAGGAATAATCGCTGTCACTCTAGAAACCAATAATAAGCGAACTTTATCGCAGAGACACTTAAATGCACTAAGGGACCTAGAAAATACAAGGAGATCCATAGTACCTCCTCGAACAAGGGAAATGGCATAAGACCACATAGAATGAAAAAATTAACTGACCACTCAACGATACAGGCACATATGACGAAAACAAATGAATAGAAAATAATTAATGTAACACAAAAATTTAATAAAGCGATTAGGAAACTAATTAAAAATGAAAACAAATCATGGTATAGATTAATAGAATATCACCCAAGAATATCCAACCTTACGGTCTCCCTAAAAGCCACAAATTAGGCATCCAGATACACCCTATTATTTCGAGTATAGGCAGCGCTCCTCACATAGAGTATAGACTAGCGAAAGCCATAACAATAATTTAAACTCCTTGTTATGAATAATCAAGAGTGGTCTCTTGTCTTATTACACTCCTCTTTGAGAGAGCTATTTCTGTTTATTGGGACTGTAAAAGGACACTATACGCCAACCTTGTATTCTCAGTTGAATAAAGCTTTCTTAAAGCCTACACCTGCGTATTTTTGTCATTACACCCCTCTCCTTGGAACTGTCAGTGCATTACATGTAAAAAATTCAGGCAACCTTGTAAAAAAACTAAAAGAAATGAATATGACTGACAAACTCATGGACAATCAAGATATAAAATCACTTTACACTAACATCCCCGTTGAAAAATGCTTAAATATATTAAAAAATCATTTAACACAATAAAAAATAAACCGATAGTTAAAATCAATTGTATATTTCACATTTAATAATAATTTTATGAAAAAAAATTGGATTGCCAATGAGATCGTTCAAAAATCTAGTGATGGCATGTACTTTCTCGAATCTGTTCTTTCCAAAATATTTTGCATATGCAATCAATATATTTCAAATATATTGATGACAAATTGTTAATATATCCTTGTGATACTGATCTTGTAAACTAAACAAAGGTCGAAGATACAATAGAATTTATCTATAAAATAAAAACAAACAGTACTTAACCTTTACTACATATCATGCTACACCGCGTTAACAGTAACTTAATCCTTAGTGTCCACCGAAAATAAACTAATAAAAGAATGATCTCATAAATTTTTATTCTCATCATAACAACAAAATAAAATCCAGAACAAAAATCGGATAGTTCCTTTGTAGCTACAATGTTGGTCGCTTTACCTCCAAGATTAACGGAAATCTATACCAGACATCCTCATAATATACATTTCTTATTTTCCTTTCTTTTAAAAATCTCACTGAGTAACCTTCTAAATTGTGTGGCTCTTGAGCCTTTAATGGATGAACTGTAATGAACTTTAAATAAAAAAAAACAAACTATATAACTTCATTATAAAACCATGCTATATGCAGTCCACGTGCAACATGCGTTTTGCATCTCGGAAATCTGACTCTCCTTTAAAGATGAGTTTGGGACCGCAACTTTCAATAAGTTTCCGTAGAAAGGAGGTTTATACGAGATGGAGTCGCTAACCTCAGGCCTAAACTATTTTGAATTCCGAGTTGCCCTTCTAGACTCATTACCAACCAAAGTCAAAGAGCCCACCTTCATATTTAACCCACATCGGGGAGAAGAAACGATACATTAATACCTCTGCCAATTATATTTGAGCGAAAGGGAATTTCGAACTCGGCTCGTCGATTTCACATTCCGAGCCGCTAACGATTACCCCACCTCAGTACATCCTTCCAGAACACAGATAATACCAATTTCTTCGCTGAATGCTGAACGTCTTATTATTTTGTGTGGGGTCGGTGACGATGGATGCTTTTAGGTTGTGGAATTAATCTTTGTCTCTGAGGTGACGTGATGCACTCGGGTTTTTATTTCATGATCAGAAAGTCCCTATCAACTTCCAATATATATTTACAAGAGCATAAAGAAATGCTCATGCGCTGGAAGCTTTGTTTTTCAGGTAATTGCTTTGGGACCCAGCTGGATTTTTGCCCTTTGCATGCAATATTCTCGCACAACGATATTCGTCCCCATTTTTATTGAGACTGCCATCTTTGTTTTGGCGTCACATATGCATGCATTCTATAGCAAGACTCTTTTGGCTGTTGCAAGAATTACTACATACCCCCACTGTTGGTTTGTGTTTACAGCTATCACATTTTAATTCAAGTTATTTATCTCTACATGTAACTTACTTTCGGATATCCTTCACACACACACACACACACACACACACACACACACACACACACACACACACACACACACACATATATATATATATATATTATTTTTATTATATGAGATTATAATAAAAACATTTCGGAATTGCTACGCAAAAGCTTTCATTTACAGTGTTCAGACTATTATCCTCATTTTCATTGCCATATTTACAACGTTTCGACCGTTGTACGTTCCGGCCTTCTTCAGGTGATTGGAATTTCGAACCGAACCTTTTATTTCGTCAACCGGTATATGCATAAAGACGTTCAGTCGTAATTGTTCGAGCGGGATAAGCTTGCTAACCATTACACCGCCTGGGAGTGCCCCATAGCGATTTTCCAAGCGTAGCTTGGATGTGACACAAGGCCGAAAGTAAGGGGAACCCAGTGAGGATTGAACTCACTACTCAGTTATAATTGTTATAGCGAGACAAGCTTGCTAAGCATTACACCACCTTGAGGTGCAAATTACGCGTATATGCACACACGTGCACAGGTACGCCCTTAATTAAAGTTGCTCCCTCTTATCTAGCTCTCGTCCCCCTCTCTCTCTCTCTCTCGCATACACACACACACACGAGTGTACATATCAGCATAACTTGCTCATTTTCTATCTTTCTATTTTTCTATCTTTATATTTCTAAATCTTCGACCATGATAGTTTAAAGAAAAGATCTAACCTGTCCTTTGTTGCTCTTAATAAATTTAGTCATTTTATTATCCCCCCTAAAACCCTGATCTGCCATCCATTTACTCAAGCTCTCTAGGTAGGTCACGTGTTGCTCCCCTCTATAAATCTTGCTTTTGATCTTCCCTGTGATTATCAAATTTTCCAAGCCTTCTTTCCTCATTATGTGCCCTAGATATTTAAACTGTCTCTTACCGATGATAACTATAAGGGTCTTTTTTGTTTTAAATTTCTCTAAAATACTGCCGTTGTTCACTTATTTGGTCCATGGTCGGGTACCTCGTGATGATGTAATGGTTAGCATGCTTGTCACGCTAGAACAATTACAACTGTGTAGTGAGTTCGATCCTCACTGGGTGCCCCTACTTTCGGCTTTGTGCCACATCTAAGCTACGCTTGGAAAATCCCTATTCGGTCCATGGTATTTTCAGCATCCTCCTACAGAGCTGCATTTCTGTTGCTTTTCTTCATCAGTGATGTCTGTTCATCTATCTACCTATCGCTCTCTCTCTCTCTCTATATATATACATCAGTCGTTTTATATTTATCTATCTATCTGTTTGCGTCTCTTCCGATCGATCTTATTCTTTTCATATCTATCTTTCACGTCCCGCTCTCTTTCTCTCTCTCTCTCTCTCTCTCTATTTATCTATCTCATTCTGTTCATATCTATGTATCTATGTATCTATCTTTTTGAGTCTGTTCAGATCTCTCTCTCTCTCTCTCTCTCTATATATATATATATATATATATATATATATATTCTATCTATCTATCTATCTATCTATCTATCTATCTATGTATTTGCGTCTTTATTTCTATCTATCTATCTATCTATCTATCTATCTATCTATCTATCTATCTATCTATGTATTTGCGTCTGTTCAGATCTATCTATCTATCTATCTATCTATCTATCTATCTATCTATCTATCTATCTTATTCTTTTCATATCTATCTATTTCTCCCGATCTCTCTGTCTATTTATCTATCTATCACCCTGTTCTATCTATCTATCTATCTATCTATCTATCTATCTATCTATCTATCTATCTATCTATCTATCTATCTATCTATCTATCTATCTTATTCTTTTCATATCTATCTTTCTCCCGATCTCTCTGTCTATTTATCTATCACACCCTGTTCATATCTATCTATCTATCTATCTATCTATCTATCTATCTATCTATCTATCTATCTATCTTATTTCAGTTTTTTCCCATATGTTTACCCTTTTTAATACAAACTGAAGACCAGAGTTTGATCTAAGACAATAATCATAAAGACCTTTACTTTTATAGTGAAAAGCTCCCTAACAGATTGCTCCATAATTTTATATTGTGCCAGACTGAACTCTAGTCATCAATTTAAGAAACAAATCATAAAGACATTTTGGTCTCTGTCTCTTTCTCTATCTCTTTTTGTGTGTCTCTCCTACAGACACACACTACTTGATGTAAATACGTTCTTCCATTTTCTAATTGTATTTTGTGTGTTTTATTGAATACAGATTTGCTAATGAATTGCGCGAATTAAAGGACAAACAAGATCCACCTTTTACAGGCTCAGTTGCCACACTGTACATACTTAACGCCACAGCCACATTCACACATGCAGTTACATGCAGATACACATATTTGAGAAACCCTTTCACACGTACACGCTTTCTCTCTTTCTCTTTCTCTCTCTCCCTCACACAATTTAAGATATTAAGCATATATCCACACGGGCGATCTCATACACGCAGAAACCTGTTCATGCATTCAAACATTCAGACCCACTCACTCCATCGCGTCCCACGTATACCCGCAAACACATACATGCAACCCTGCCTATGTCATCGCGCATTGACATAAGCCACACTAAAAAAATGCCTATATTCACGCACTTTCGTGTGCATACACTCACGCCCTCGTGCACGTACACATACTTAATCTCGCTCCGCGTGTCCATAAAATTACAAGCGCACACGCATACACGCACACATACGCGCGCGTACAACGACCTCCACCCTCGTGCGCAACTTCGCATTCGAGAAGTGACGCAGTCGGAGCAACGTGCCGTTAAATGTCATACAGTTCATTACGTCAGATCAATATGAACGCATCGCCCCTCCCTCCCCCTCCACTTACCTTACCGAGACCAAATTCGTCCTCCTTCTCCCCTTGTTTTCGTCTCTCTATCCGACAAGGTGCGTGCATCTAAGGGGCTGAACTAAATACGATCAAATGGACCCCCGCAACACTTCTACACGCGCCAAAAAGAAATGCGCTACGTGATATAAAATAAAATAAAATAAAAATTAGCTTCTATTAAATTTTAAAGCCTGTCTCGTGGTTGCCTGAAATAGGAACGCGTTTGTAAATAGTGTCAGTGTTCGGCCCCAGGTAAACATTTACTTGTCAGACAAGCAGACACGTCCTCTACACAGGTTAGCTGGTGTATTATAAAATAAAATTATCCCCTTCAGGACGTAAAGGAAGATGGCTCCCCAAAGTTTCTTTATTATCTCTGTTGCAGAGGCGGGAATAGCTTGCCTCCTGCTCCTCCCTACTACTGTGATAATGGACTGCCCCTACATTAGAGTAGCCACATTAGAGTAGGATTTGATTTACTCCCTCGTTAGGGGACCAGAGATGTCTGTTCGGGGTGGAGGGCCAGAATATATTTCAACTCGGAATTATTTTCAACCCGGAACTAATTTTAAAAAAAGAATGAAAGTTGCAGGAAAGATGAATTCTGAATTCTGTTATCGACTAAGGATTTTTAATGCTAAATTAAAAAATAAATTAACACCAACTCATTGCATTTTGTTTAGGAATTCAGGGAAATTGATAACTTGGATTTTAAATCGAATTGAAATTAGTTCCGAGTTGAAATTAATTTCATGTTGAAATTAGTTCCGAGTTGAAATTAATTCCGCGTTGAAATTAGTTCCGTGTTGAAATTAGTTCCGAGTTGAAATTAGTTCTGTCACTTGTCTGTTCTCTGGACGATGCGAGACTCCTTTAATTTTTCCAGGGTGTTTTTCGTATTTGTTGTTGTGTCAGAATGAGTGTTTAGTTGTGTGTGTGGTTGGTGGAATGATTGGTTTAAATTATCTAATTAATTTCGTCCAGTTAGCTGACGTTTCTAACACAAGGATTGTGAGGGTCGTTCTTATAGGCACCATTTTGCTTAAATTCGTGTATAAAGTGTTACTAATATTGTAAATATACATTGGGGTTTCGTGTTTAAACTTGTTATTTTTATTACCCCATCCCCAGACAAATATGGGGACTAGTTAGGATTTCATAGAGGCTTTGGTGGTCGCAGAATTGGTGAAAGGAATATTGTATAGTTTGTTTTGGTCAGTGATTGTGGCTAGCGAAGTTTAAGATGACCGATTGATAACCAGCCTTCACCATATGCCCACTTTTGGCCATGTGCCACATTTTCTGTATACAAAATAGATAATATTTGATTTACATAAGTTATTCTGTTCTATGTATGAATGCTTAATAAACCTCTTTGTTTTTTTCGACATAATGTTCCTTCGATACTGTTTCTAAGGCCTTCCTAATTTTCGGCTATTTTTTTTTTTTACCAAAGACAACATTTAAGAAGTTGGAAGAGAGTTTTACAGGCGGCAAGTGCAAGAACAGAATCAATTCTGAGAGTTTCTTTTCTCGCACTTCTTGCTTGTAGAACCCTCTTCCATAATCTTGCTTCCCTGTCAATTACGATCATCAACAATTTAAATCTATCGCAATTGTAATTTTTTTTTGTGATTTTGAACACTACTCTTTTATTGTCTTTTCTTCTCAGTAACGTTTTCTCATACTCTCTAACACTCAGTAACACCCTTGCGTCTTAGTGGCTTTATCACCTTGCTTAGGGTGAAATGATTAAAAAAATGCAAATTGCCATGGCATTTTGACAAAGATAGTAGAGTAGTCTCCCGTTGCATTCTCCATGGTTTTGATTTCAGAGTTATTGGTTGCAACCCAAGGCTAGTCAGTCCAGGCTACCTTACTATTTAACCCATAGCTGGAGATTCTTACTTTTCTCAAGGGTAATCGCACGAAAATGAACGTATCGCTTTACTCGATCAAATATTTATTGGGATGGTCGTTTTGTAAAGTAATTCGGGAAAGATGAAAAATAAAATTCAGTAAGTAGGTGTTCATGGCGCTCCACAACTTTCTTTATTATTTGAGAATTTTCATACCTTCTTGATAAAGATCATGGGGTGATTTCCCCTTGCTTTCTCCACAGTTATGAAATCAAAATACTTCCTCTCCAGCAAAGCTAGAGACATCATTCTACCCTGTTATCTAACACACAACTGGGGTGATTGAAGAATGACTTTTGTGCGAAAGTGAATGCAATAGACTAGACGGGGTTTGAACTCCGATCTCAAATTCAGCACCGATAACCGTTACGCTATCCGCACATATACGACGCAATCTTCATAATTCCGATTCAATCATGTGATATACTAATATAGACGGTATATTAAATTCGGTCAATTCAGGGATCAGAACCTTGCTGCTGGTGCCATGTTACCTACTATAATCAGTCTCATGTTAATGATAGAGGAAATGTGCACTAGCAAGTAATTGCTATTGTCATACGAAATGCTATTATTAATATTAAATTATCATTGTACCCCAACAATCTCATGGGTTCTAGATTAAGCTGGAACTGAACTGAAATATTTGATTGGTTTAGTTTGGTTTGTTTTGTTTTACGGCATATCAAAATCAATCGGCTATTTAATGCCGACAAGATTTTTATTGCTGGTAATATTTTTTCCAAACATGTATGGCTCCTTCAAAATTTTCCTTCAAAAATGTATTGCTGGTAATATTTTTTCCAAACATTTATAGCTAGTAATACATTTTCTTTCAAAAATGTATTGCTGGTAATACTTTTTCTTCAAAACAGATAACAGATACAAACTTGTGGAGCGTGCAGTCGCACTGCTAAGGGGGAATATTTGAAAAAAATTCTTAAATTGCCATATTAGTAAAAACCGTTCTCAATTAAATTTTCAAAAATTAAACCTTAGCGTTGAGACTGCACGCTCCACAAGTTTATATCCGTTGTCAATAAAACATTTAAAAAAGTTATATTTCGATTTGCATTATATTTTTTCGTGTCGGAAGCTACTTTTATTTTGACTTTATATTTTCCAGGCTTGATGATGACCGAGAAACATGTCGAAAGTACTTGCATATTTAAGGAAATACTGTTAGAAAATCACTATTCATATATTTCTCCACCGAACTTAAACATGTTTCTTTTTTGATTTCTTTAGTATATTTCTGTTTTTGTTTTTTTGGTTTTCAGCACCAGCTTTAAATGTTTTCTTGCTAGTCAATTCTCTTTGTTGCTTATTACTCTTTTAATGTTTTTCTGATACTTTGGAAACATTCTGAAGACCTTTTCCTTGATTTTTTTCTTGTCAATCTTACTAATTTGCTGTTTTCATTGTTCTCTGATCATTGTCCAACTTTACCTAAGTTTGTCACCTTCACTCAATAAATGTACAATAGCTTTTTCTCTTCTCGGTTTATATCTTTCTTACGCCCCAGCGAGCAAACATAGGCGATCGCATTATTGAGATAAGTAGACCACGTGACCATAGAGGAAACGCATATCTGGGAAGTAGCGTGTGTCTAATGGACCTCTATTCTCTACTCTATTCAATATACTATTTCTCTATTCAGATCGCTATTCGGCTTACTTGTCGAACGAGTATTATTGAGCAAGTACTGTTAGTGCACGTGTGTTTGAAGGCGTTTGACACCAGTATTGTTCAACGGCGTTACTATAGTTGTATCTGCGATTACAAAGTCTCTACTACAAGGAGCATTTCGAAAGTGACAACGCGTATTCTTTGATATTACATAAATGGCAACGAGTGTTCGTTGACATCACAAAAAACGTTTATATATTGTTTTTTTGGGGGGGAACGATACCATCTTGATGATGTCCCTATATTCTCTTCCAGTGATATGTGCTATATTGGTGCTGCTGTTGGTAGTCCTATGCTCATGTGGTTTCTGTTATTTGGTACAGTTCTTTGTGATTCTGTAGCAGCAGTCTACAATATTCTACGAAGGACGATCTTCGCCACGAACCACCGACTTCACTCGCTCAAAGCCATCTCACCAAATATGTATGATTCCGTAGAGCGTGATAGTTCTTCCTGCTTTAATTAAATCTTACTCAATTAAAATGCTGAAACTATTTAACCTATTAGTGCATAGGACCCAATTCCTTTTTAATTTAAAATCCGCCAACCCTGAGATTACCATTAGCCACCAAGTTAGATTAGATTATTATTATCAAATATAAGATAAAAACTTTCAGGAAGCGGAAGTCCCTCTGGCCCAAAGAGGGCTAGTAAATTAGTTTTCAAAATGGCATGCGACCTTCAATTTTAAGGCGATTGACCTTTAACCAATCATGTATTTATTTGTAATATAATGAGAAGCTATCTAATTCCATAATAATCGTATTATTTTAAATATTACTAATATTACAAATATTCTGAGCTGAAATTCACACGATATATAACCCATAAAAAATTAACCTAAAATATAACTAACATTCATAGGTTAATACCAGTTTAAGAGAGAAAAAAAAAAGAAACTATATAATTTGACATACTGCATGATAACTGCTGAGTTATCGTTCTTGAAACTAGAACAATTATTGTCGCTTGAGGGAGTTCCATTGACTGTCTATAAAGTCAGTCCTATTTAGCTATGAGTGTTGTAGACGATTCGGTTGGAAATTGGAATTTTTCATAAAATGCTATCAAAAAAGAAATCTCAAACATTGAGTGGTTTCTAACTAGTAAGCAGACCGTCGACGCATTTACGAAGAAAGATGTGACTTCGTATAAGATAATGGAATATGTTGCTGATCTAAAAATGTCCCTATCTTAATGAATATATTTGTTCATATTTGCCCATATCTAAAAAAATATATACATATATTTAGAAATTCGTACAAATTCTTCTAAAAACTATGACATCGTTCGCCACATCATGTACTACGCTATTTCGGCTGGAGATTACTATTATATTTAAAAATTACACAAAATTATTGGATATTCCAAAATATTCCTGGACAAATTATAGGTGCGTCTTATATGACGTTGTGCCTTATGCTGCCCCTATCTTAATGAATATATTTGTTCATATTTGCTCATATCTAATATATATATATATATATATATATATATATATGAAAGTGAAGTCAATACTCAGAGGCGACAGGGTGTTTCATGCTAGAGACAATCCTCAGGCGGCCTGACGATTGCGTCTAGCATGAAACAGCTTGTCGCCTCCGAGTGTTGACTTCAATGTTCACTTTTATATTTTCATATATACGCTCTATGCTTGATATGGAGAACTTCATCCCATAAATATAGCACACCTTAAAAGTATATTTGCTCACACACACACACACACACACACACACACACACACACACACATATATATATATATATATATTTAGAAATTCGTACTAATTCGTCTAAAAGCTATGACGTCATCATGAACTACTCTATTTAGGCTGAACATGACTATTATATCAAACTAATGTACTTTTTAAAGATTCCACAAAATTTTTAGATATTCCAAAATATTCTTAGATAGATTATAGGTGCGTCTTATATGACGTTGTGCGTTATATAAAGGGAAAAACATCATACATACATTTACTTCATAATGAAATGCTTTCCTTTAAGCTGCATCTCAATCTGTTTATATCAGTGTATGATAATCGGTCAAATCATTCATTGATTTTTAATTAATAAAGTGTCGGGAAGTCCAAGATAAATTTTGTGTAGATGCTTTCTATTTTCCTATCAATAATCTTTCAAAATAGAAAAAAACTTTGAAAACGAATAGTTACTGTAAAGTTTTTGTTTCAGAGGAAGATACAGTTGGTTAATAAATGTTTATAGGAAGGCTACACTTAAAAGCACAATAAGAAAACGTCTTAGAGGAGTTAACGGAAATTGCAGAGTGAAAAGAGAAACAGACATCAGTGACAGGCTCTGCAGTGGCAGGTTAGCTGCTGCAAATGAAGAAAATAGCAAATAGTCTCTTCTCAATAGATCTAACAGAGGAATAACAGGCAGTAAAATTCTGTGAAAACCTACAGGTGACTCATTGTCGTGCTTGCAGTACGTATTTACAAAATGGGTAAGAGGAATGCTGATAAACGCAGAGGATGATTTATGGATTCATTAGTGGAGTCTGTATAAGCCTGGAGAAATCTCAGCTGACTCTTCCTTATATTAAGTATAAGCTTCCTCCTTGTTTGCATCCTGTCCAAGACCTCATCGTTACTTACACGCTCGCTCCATGATATCCTTAGCATCCTTCTGTAGAACCGCATTTCCACTGCCTCGAGTCTCTTATCATCTTTGAGGAGACCGTTCAACATTCGTTACCGTATAGGATGAGAGATATCCCGTAGTAGCTTAGTACTATTTTCTTTGTCACCATAGAAATCCTGTATCGCAATACTCTGCCCAGTTTCTGAAATGCATCCTTGGCCATCCCAATGTTTAATGGAAGATCAGACAGACGACAGGTAAGTCTACGGGAAATATCATCTTCCAAAACGTATTAGAATGTTATGTAATTCTTTATAGAAAGAATTGGTTGTGGTATTGGTTAACTTTTTAAATTTATTCTGATCTTCGATGATCACAACAAATTTAAAACGTTAATCAATAACTCCAGCAATGGCTTGTAATTTTAAGTGGTGCCCATATTTGTTTAAAATAAAGTAAGTATTGGTTTTATCAGCTCGTCGAATAACAATACTATTGTTATTTTTAGTTATGTGGTTGCTTTTATTAAAGGAGTGTTTATAATTCCGTTTGGATTTTTATGATAACGGTGTTTAATAGATTCGGCTTTAAGTAATTCATTTAAATCTACCTGTGTAGAAATATGGTTGTCTTGTTCCAATAGAAGTTTTTGTTAGTATATAGCTTCAATTTCTGTTTGTTTAAAAATTAAATTTAGGTTTCTGTGCGACATAAAAATTTAGTCCAAGATTAAGGAATTCCATTTCATTTGGAGTTAATTGGTAATCCGATAGGTTAAGGAAGTTGGTGTTGGTGTTTGGTAAAAGTATTTTTTCGTTATATTTAGCTTTTTTTTTTGGATGACTTGTTTATGGGATTCATTTTCCTTTTGTGTTGTACTGTGTAATAAATCCAATATTTCCTTGAATTATTCAGTGGTGGTAGAAGATTGTAAGATTCCTTTAATACATACAATTTCGGTGTTGAGCTGTTGTAATTCTTGCGTAGATGTGTTTATTTGTCGTTTGATGAGATTCCATTGAAATTTCTTGATGCAATACAATAGAGATATTAAGTATATATTAATAAATATATATATTATTCCTCACCAACAGCATGACGCGGAGTTTCATGCACAGCGCAATCTTCTGGTGCTGAGTATAGAAAACGGTTACGTAATTTAAATTTAAAAAAAATCTGTTTATCGTAATGCCGATGCAGGCTTATATTACACTGAGATTACATTTCTTTTTAATTTTAAGAATATATATTTGGCATTTAAAATATACAGGGTTTCTATATATATATGTAAAAAATATTTTAGAGTTGTGAATATTAATTTTCTATATTTTATATTAGGCATAAAGGGAGATTACTTGTTCTTTTTTGCATATATATATATATATATATATATATATATATATATATATATATATATATATGTGTGTGTGTGTGTGAAAAGTGTATATAAATATAAATAAATATATATATGTATAATTATTTATATATTATATATGGTACTTATTAGAAAGCGCTCAATATCAGAGATAGAGCTAACATATTTGGTTGGATAGATGTGACGCTTTAGCGATCGTCAGACAGACGATCGCTAAAGCGTGAAACCCAGGGTCACAAACTCACATCTATCCAACCAAATATATATATATATTTTATTAACACCAACACTCAATGTGCGATATATATATATATATATATATATATATATATATATATATATATATATATATATATATATATATATATATATATATATATATATATATATATATATTGTGTGTGTGTGTGGACTTCAAATAAACAGACAGGGAAGATTATTTTGGAACCATCAATCTAATTAGTGAAATTTAGCAAAAGAAAAAAAATCAGCCACTCTTTTTATTTCAACCACTTCGTTTATTTAAAATCCAAGTCGGCATATAATTTGAAATCTATCTCAAATCTATCTATCTATCTATCTATCTATCTATCTATCTATCTATCTATCTTAAATTTCCACAACGTATGTATGTGTGTACATTCCTATGTATGTATCTCCGTTGATATTTATCTTACCCTGGTATATGCACTTGAACTGTTCAATTATAACAATAGCCGTTCAATTACTGCAAAAAACATTCTCCATTGCTTGAGCAAAAGTTACCGAGTTTACACTTCAACGAATCGAAGTCTCGCACCTGATAACAACGGGCAATTGTCGGTGACTCTAAGTACTGCAATCCACAAACTTGAATCGGATTGATCAATGTTTTTCGATTGTTATTGATGGTCTATTTTCTCTGCGACCCCAGCAACCGGAAACACATCCGGTATATTACCTATGTAAGATCAAAAACGGGAATCAAAGTAATTCGACTCGTCAAATTAACAGGAATCAAGTGATTACTCATAACCAGAACCACGTTTATACTTAAACATCGTATATGTCTATATTGTAGTAAAATGTTAATTAGTTTTTGTATAATATAGCCATAAACCACCGTTCCTAGCGCGCTTAGATCGTTATATATATATATATATATATATATATATATATATATATATATATATATATATATATATATAACTATACTCGTTTCGAAAACCCTCGAATTTTTGATTTCCCTGACGATCCGCTTAGGTGAAACCTGGGTAAGTTTGTCTGGCCCACTAGGTTTTATATATATATATATATATATATATATATATATATATATATATATTGTCATCCACGGGCAGACTATTTCGCTCTATCACTGCTCATTAGTGTAGCTAGACGTCCGGTTGCCTCTAGCTAGGATCGAAACCATGCTGAATTGGCGTCAGCTGGAGGTTCTACTCCTAAGACGTTGGCGCACGGTAGAGATGAAGGTGAATTTTAGCGTGTTTATTTTTAGATAAACAAACAGTGACTGAGAGAACTCAATTCGCTTTACTGAAGAGTCTTACATTATAGCTGTAATAGTCACTGTTTACAAACTCGCACATCCGCCCCAGAGAGCTCAACTGAAATAAATTTTTCAAAAGCATATATATATATATATATATATATATATATATATATATATATATATATATATATATTGAAAGAGTTTATGAAATAAACATGGAAATTTTGTTTTTAATCTAATGTGCATCAATGAAAAACTGCTTCCCAAATACACTCAATATATATATATATATATATATATATATATATATATATATATATATTAAAGAAAGAAAAATTTAGATCGCGGTATAATGTAACCTGAAATAGAATCCTAGGAAAAGTCATTTGTGGCAGACATGAACTTAATTCAAACTTTATCACACAATTGGCGACACTTTATCACAATTGTGGAAAAATGTGACTTGTTCAATTTTCCATAAGAAGCTAAGGGGAGAGGTCGGAAGATAATCAAACCTATAAGTAATCTTAGAATAGATTGTGTAGTTGAAAAGGCTTCTTTAAGAAACCAGAGAATACAATTAAACCGTTTAAAATTGTAAAAAAATGTGGAACATCCATATAAGATGTTAATAATATCGACTAGAGAGCAATACATAGCTATATTAAATCTAAGTAAACAAAATAAAATAATCACTCATAGAAGGTTCACCGCTATTTACTTATCAATTATTTACTGTTTCTACAATTGAAAATCCAATTGTTGAAAAATTTTATATGGGAAGTACTAAAAATTCTTTTAAAAGTAGTGGTACCAACATATCCTATTCTTCACCAACATATCATTCCAAATATTTTTTTTTAATTTAAAAGAAGTTAATAACTCCTACGGTAAAATGGACAGTTTAAAAAAAAACAAAAAAAAAAAAAACTAAAAGTTGTAAATCCTTAAATGGATCTTGCTTCTTATGCTTATACGAGCAATTGAAAATTATTAGATTTGCTGATAAAAATTCTCTGTTAAACCAAGGAAGTGAATTAACTGTAAATTGCAGTCATAGTTTACTTTTCACTTTCCAATTAAATTTTAAAAAAATTAAATGCTACGGACAGTGAAAGTATACTCTATTTGTTTATATACCTGGATATATTATATATATAACGGCCAAGAATTATGGTAATAATTTTGAGGGATATAATAATAGTTTAGTGATGCAAGTATTACTAATTAATCCACAGACGGGGTGAAGTTGTCTGACTGCTTGATCGTACGGGAACCATCTTTGTTGGCTTTTCCTTTTTTATTATTAGGGCCTCCATTATTTTTAATATAATTTATTATAGTGGCATTTTGTTTCGGATGGAGTTTGGGAGGTTTTCGTGTGTGTTTAAATGAATCCTAATTGAGCTATAGTCGGTGTAACGTGGGTCGTCTAGATAGGCATGTAGTAGTATGATCAATATAACTATGAGTTTCTTAAGGGGCATTTTAATTAGTAAATAATATTGCTTCTTTCTATTTCTTGGTTTTGCGGGTGTGTTGTTATTTTTGATGATGAGTTTTGATGTTTTAATATTTTTCTTTTTTTATGGTGGGGGGTGAAATATGTCCCTTGCTAGATATTTTGAAGTGCTTGAGAACATTTCAAAGTCGAGAAGCGGTTAAAAAGATCGCTAGATTTAAACACTGTAAAATAACCAGCGATCAGTTATCTTTTTGCTACATAACCCAATTTCATCTGCGTCCTTTAAGTACTTCGATGTTATCGCCAATCTTGCTTTGTTCCTTGATCCCTGTTGACAGCTTTTTATGAGATTAATCAATAGTTTCCCCATTCTAATGATTGAACTTTATGCCTGTCTAAGTTTGTTTTTCAAAAGATTACGTTACAGTTTAAACGTAAGTGCTTTTCCTTATTCGTTCACTTTGGTTAAATAATCACGTCATCCCTATTGTTACATAGTTTTATTTCGATGATCTTTCATCAATGCAATTACGCGTTCTAAGTATACGAATTATTGAACTTATTTTAGTTTTCTTCAATAATATTGATATCCGGAATTTTGGAAAAAAAATACTTGCCTGGTCTTTTGAACTGGTATAGAGGTTTTTCCTGTCAAGGATTGGGTTTCCACTTTCTTCTAAACTTTATTTCAACTCTCAATTGATATTGACTGAACATAACAATTTTATTTGTTAATTTTTCTTTCACAGTAGGAGTAGATAAGATCGCTTATAGCCCGGTGCAAATACTTGCCTGGTCTTTTGAACTGGTATAGAGGTTTTTCCTGTCAAGGATTGGGTTTCCACTTTCTTCTAAACTTTATTTCAACTCTCAATTGATGACCCCGACTGAACATAACAATTTTATTTGTTAATTTTTCTTTCTCAGTAGGAGTAGATAAGATCGCCTATAGCCCGGTGCAAATACTTGCCTGGTCTTTTGAACTGGTATAAAGATTTTATTCTTGTTTCCTATCAACGATCGGGTTTCCTCTTCCTTCTAAATTTATTTCAACTCTTAACTCCTAATGACTTCGCCTGAACACCAAAATTTTATTTACTAATTTTAATAGGAGTAGATAGGATCGATAATCGCCTGGTTCACATCCTTCCCTGCTGTTTTGAACAGGTGTAGAGGTTTTTCCCTTGTTTTCTGCCAAGATTTGGGTTTCCGGTTCCTTCTAAAGTCGTTTCATTCTCTTTCAGTCACAGTAGCCTCTTGCGTCTTAGTGGCATCATCGGTTTGCTTGGGGTGAATTGGTTAAAAAACATCTTAAAAAAAAAGAAAAGTCTATTGAGACTTTTGTTAACCAATGGATTTTTTTAAAAATGTCAACAAATCGTGTACGTTTTAACTATTCTCTATTTATGTTCAGTTAATGTTTTGTGAAATGCTTTTAATTTCTGCGGCATTGCCTCACCCCTTTTGAAATCTTCATCAATATGCGGTCGAAATTTTGAAGTATTGACTACAGCCTATACTGTAAATAACATTTATATATATTTATGTAATAACCTGTTCTCGTAGTAAGTTAAATTGTACCGAGTATTCTCTCAATCGAATGCCTTTTCACAGTCAACAAACACTGAAAAATTGTGTTGTTGTGTCCTCCCTCTAAGAGTCTATGTTAGACTCTTCCGCCTACTATAAATTTAGTAGGAGAGAAGGCTGCGGGGGAACAGGAAACAGTGAGCAGATTGAGAGCTAGTTCATGCAATAGACTCTCACTAGTCGTGTGATACCCTTCTGGTGTACTTACTGTTTAATATACGATATATCTGCAAACCTGGTTTTTGTTATTATTAACCATTTACTTGGTCACAACAAGCAGTTTCTTATTGTTATGGTCCGGTTCCTTGTACCAACGTAGAACCAATAAAGAAGAACTCGAACACAGGTATGGAATAGCACAGATATATTACAAACAGGAATATATACAGAGAAGTAGAAGTGTTAGTATGAACAATCAGGTTTAGTAGAGAGAACAATGTATTCTCGACCAGTATCACTATTCCAATGTCTTGCAGTAATTTTCTGAACGCGACTCTGTTTCGGACTGCCTCTGACTCGACTCTTGACTCGTCTTGAACTACTGACTCGACTTGAACGATTGACTGACGATATTCAGTCATCCCCCACCACTGGGGCAGCATGTGACACAAAGTCGGTTATTTATTGTGGGTTCTCCGAGCCCATGGGCTCGGCCCAAAAATATGCCCATTAAACCTGTATAAACGGGCACAGGGCCGGTCTTTCTCCCCGAACGAGACTCCGCCCTTCGCCGTAGCCTCGTTCGGGTTCCTCCCCGACCGAAGGCAGAGAGTTCAACCGAACAGTCGGTTCAGAAGTGAACTACTGACTGACTCCTTGCCTACTCCTGAGGCTCAGTATTTATTAAGTATGGAATATTTCATTATTATTATTATTATTATTATTATGGGTAAGATTCCATAACAGTTATAATCCGTTGTTTTTCCAATTTTTTCTTGAAATTCAAATATTGTTTGAATTGCTGACTAAATAGGTGTGAAAATTGTATACATTCGATAATAATGTGATAGGAAATTAGTTATCAGGGTCATTATTGTCCCAATTTTTTTAAGTATGGTTATTCTACTTAGATTGAGT